ACAAGAATGAGGAAAGTTTTTTTTAATAGTGCGGGTAGTATCGAATTCGAAAGAAGAAAGATCATGGGCTTGGGAGCTTCTGGGCAGTGACTTGCGCATACGCTCTTAGAGCATGAAATGAAATATCCTTCAAATACGAAGGACGCTTTGCCCAATCTAGGTCAGAAAGGGGCAGAAAAGAAATGGTTTTTAAAGTAAAGATTTAGTCCCTTGTGGGTCCGAAAATGAGCGTGGAGAGGGAGTGCTTGACGTGTCGGTCTTTTTGAGTTAAAAAGGGAAGGCAACGAAGGAGCATCATCGGAATTGACGTTGGCGTTTAGGAGTTTTTACCCGGGGTTGGTCCGGGGCGTGAAATGGGCGGGGGGGATTCGAAAATTTTCCCTACCATAGAGGGGAAAAGGGGAAAATGTCAAAGGAGAGCGGGGGTTCAGACAAATCAAGGAGTCGTTGAAGCCCCCGGGATGAAGCGGGGTGAGGAAAAGCACCCGAAGAGGTACAGGGGATTTGGATGTCCCAAAAGGGGGGGTCTAAACAAGGCAGGGTCAGAATGGGGTGCGGTATCAAGAAGGGGCCCGGGGGGGGAGTGGGTTCTGGACTAGGGTGCCAGGTTAGGTTATCCTTCGCTTTTTGTTTTTAAAAAAAAAAAAAGAAAGAAGAAAAGAAAATAAAAAAAAAAAAAAAAAAAAAGGGGGGAGCGGGGGGGGGAAAAGTTCCCAGGAGGTTTTAAAGGGCCGGGAAAAAACTCCCTCCGCGCCCAAGAGGACCCCAACACCGTAGTGGGAGATCAGCATGGAACCCGTGCCTACCCTACCCTCATGCCGTAAACCCAAACCGGGTAGCAACCCCCACTGCCGAGCTACCTTGGTGGACAAAAAGGAGGGCGGCCCCGGTATCCGCCCCCAAAAACATACCCCCTTTGGCCACCCACCCCCCCGGAAACCGAAAGGGAGCTTCCAAAAGATACACCCGTCGCCCAAAGACACCCAAAGCTACTCCGGGGTACCGGAGAGGGATGGGGGCATCCCCAGGCAAACCAGATTCCACGGAAATACGCCACCGCCAAGAACTCAACGGAATGGATGGCCCCGTGTCCTTTCCCCTTTCCCAGGAACTAGGCGCCTGTGGGAGAAATCCCCAAAGGCCAAAAGAGGAAGGGAAAAGGGAGGGGGGGGAGGAGGAATGGGAAAAAAGGGGGAGGTGGGGTAGGGGAGGGGAGAAAAGGGGGGGGGAATTAGGTTCGGTCTGAGGAAGAAGACCGAAGGGTAATTCCTCAGCCAAGGCCCCTTCACCATGCAAAGGGGCCCCCCTTGAAGAAGGTATAAATAACATAAAATGTTAAATACCCAGAAGAATAATATTTGGCTAAAAACCGAGCAGTTCGACAGAGTTATGAAGAGGATTGGTAAACCAAAAACCATTTTACTTGTTTTGGTGGGGTTATTTAGGAAACGGAGTTTTAGCACAGGGCTAAATGTGTATACATTCTCCCCCAAAAACATGAAACAAAAAAAGTTTTTTTCTCTAATTTAATATCAACAGACAGCATATGTGTAGAGAAACCGGATAACCCCAAAAAAGTAACGGGTTATTTTTTGTACCCGGCTGGTTAGCCATATATGATTTTTTGGGAAATATTCTTTTCCCAGAGGGGAGAAAATTAGGGTTTTTTCTTTACACCCGTTGTCTTGTTTTCCATCAGTAAATGGGTACTGGGGGTTAGCCGACTAGTGTGGATGTTATCCCGGACACTAAAATAATTTTCTTGAAATATCGTAACAAGTGGCTTTCTATAAAGTAGTCACGACCGAGTTCGGTTCCGAGAAACCGGTCGTAAGTTGAAATGGTCGTAAGTCGAACGTCGAACTTTACTACTGAATATCAACATCACATTTTTGTAATGACTATATTTTATTGTTTTATTTTGGTATTTCATGTTTTACTTTACTTTTTATGCTGTTAGTACTGTATTTTATACCATAAGGTTTAGAATAAACACTGTGTACAACACAAATAGTTGTTTATTTCCCAGAAATTTGGCATAAAAAACACGGTCGTAAGTCGAGTGGTCGTAAGTCAAGCAGGTCGTAAGTCAGATGGTAGGTGTATGTCACTGATGTCAGCTAGGCCTGTATGCCATGTACATGTACGTGTAGTAAATAAAGATATTATTATTATTATTATATTATTATTTTCTCAGTTGTTTGTTGGGTTATCTTATTCAAACTTGGGCAATGTATGATGGAAAGATACTTCTTCACGTACACCAAAAATGAAAGAAATCAGACCACAAATAGCGGAGTTCACTTCTCAGCCATTAGCGGCCGTTTAGCGGTATATTTTTGTATGGTTGTTATGGTTATATTCTCATTTTTTCGGTCTCATTTGATAGAATGAAAGATATATTACAGAATAGATTGATTTTGATTGCTTTCATGACGAAAAATTACCCTTTAAATTGCGCTCAAGTGCGAAAATGTTCTATTCTTTAGCGAAGCTCAAGAGTAAAACAAATGACGTCACCGTCCAATACCTGTCCGCCTGCCAGTCCAAATTCCAGTACGGAGTCAAGAATGGATTGATATTATTTATACAATTATTAAAATAATGCAGTTAGTCCTGCAAAACAGTAAATCTTCTATTTTTTTTTGTGAATAAAAATTCCAAATGGTAAGCAAAAGTAATATAAGAGGGGCCTGTAGCCGTGACTAATGAACAGAGGAAAAATGTTATTTTGTGCCAGGAATGTCTGCATTGTTTATTCTGGACCCTATTTTGAAATTGGGGATCTGTTGAAATTTGTGTGAAATCGGCCAAATTTCCAATTTTGACCACTTTATTGGGTAGTTTAAATAAGTGAATGGGCGGTTTCTTGTATTCAGTTGACAGACTAGAAGTAAGTAAGTTTATTCAGGTATACACAAATACAGTTTACATAGATTTCATACATAGTAGTGTATGTATAGAGAACCTAGGATAACCCAGAAAAGTTCAAAATGACTTGTTTCCAGTACCTGGCTTGGGCTTGCCATATATGATTTTTGGTAATATTTTTTTTTTCTCGGTTGTTTGTTGGATATTCACGAAACTTGGGCAATGTATGAGGAAAGATGCTTCTTAACGTACAACAAAAATAAAAAAGAGGACGAAATAAGGGAGTTCCTTCTCACCCATTAGCCCCCCTTTTTGCGTTATTTTCGGTGGTTTTTATGGTTGTTTTTCCCCCCCCCTTTTTTTTGGCTCTTTGTGAATGGAAGATATATTACAAAAATAGCATATTTTGATTGCTTTCATAATGAAAAAGGCCTTGAAAAATTTAGTCAAAAATACGAAAATGTTCAATTTTTGCCGGTTTTAATGAACTGGCAAGTAAAATTGGTTAATTTTATTAAGTGTTTTTTCTAACCTAACCCCTCTGTAATTCGGCAAATCAGTAATCCCGGGACATACAGGTCCCAATGATGCCGGTTTGTGATGGAGGACTGTATATGGGAAAATGCTACAAGTACCATAAAAGTAAAGTCAAAATCAGGGGGGAGTGAAAAACTAAATTTTAATATCAGTTGAAGGGACATGAGAAGGGGGGCATGCGACAGAGTGTCCCTGATGGGCGGGTAACCCAAAAAAAAAGGGGAAAAAAAAAAAATTGGGGATGTCTGAAGTATCAGTGATGTAAGAGGGTGGGGGGTGTAGGGGAGAGAGGGTGTATAAATTTGGGTGAAGACAAGCAGAAGATGGGGGAAAGGAGAGGTCAAAGAGGTTGAGCACTCATTCAGAACTTTTTGTGTGTTGTTAGGCATGAATGGGGCCAGGTGTTTTTATGGAGGTGTTGTTTAAAGTAGCAAGGGGTTTTATGAAGGGATTCAGGGAAACTGTTATCTGGACTTAAGGTAGAAAAAGACTGCCTCCCTTAAGGAGGGGGGGGAATGTTTTCAGTTAAGGGGTAAACTGAAATGTGATGTTGGCACATTTTGGGGAGACAGTGCTGAATGTAATTGTTTCCTTCTTTTTTGTTATCCTGCTTTGGTAAGGACAGCAGACATGAAAAGAAAACTTATAATTAGGTAGCAAATGTTTATAAATAAAAAAATTTTATAAACACCCTCAAGGGGTGGGGGTCTAGGTCTAGGGAATGAATTGTGCTCCCTTCCCCGAATAAGCCTGAAGGGCCCTTCCCTTCCCCCCCCCCCCCCCCTGCACTGTTTTAAACCTACGGGTTTTGCGCTCCCCCCTAAATATTATAATAATAATAATTTATGTAAACAGTTGAGCAGTGACAAAATGTGAAAAATGCTAAGTAAAGAATGCTGTTAAGATTTTTGATAAAGCTGAAATATAAAAATTAATAAATGTTTGCTTTTATTGATTCATTAAACAAATAAAATTTATAGTAGTGATGAAATATTATTTAACTTGGCAATGTAAACATAATCCAATAGAATTCTTGTCTTTTTTTGAGCAAAATGATAAGTAACTGCTGAAAAATTCTGGCTTGCTCTGAATATTCTGCAATAATTCCTTTTTAACTTACAAAAAGGGCTAAGCTTTGCAATTTTTCTTGACCTTGAAAATTCCTGGAGTAACTTTAAATTTTTTTCAAAAGTATTCTAACAAACCATGTACATACAATGTATATACGGGCTCAGCTAGACTCCTGCAGATACATTTTCAGTTTGGGGTAGTAAATCCAAATAAAATGCAGATTACTTCACCTTAGCTACTCGGAAATTCAGCCGATACTGTGTCCCATACCTATGCTTGTAATGGTTTTATAAAAAAAATATTTACAATTAAATAAATGACTCTCTACTTGCTTTTCCAAGCAGAGAAATCAAAGAGCTAATGCAACCCACAGGACTGCAACACCCTCACCTTATTTTCAGTGTAAGAGGCACTACTCTTCTCAGCTTCTCTAACTGAAGCCTTCATATTTATATTTCTTGTTTGGGAAATCATGCCATTAGAAACCAAAAAATACAAAATTCATGTTAAATTGCACTAACCTCTGTGAAATAAAATTTCTGAAACTTTGCCTGTGCATTTAAACTAGGTCGCCTTTCAACCTCCTTGCCTTCTTTGAAGAAAGATATTGTAGGAAGTTGGAGAGAGAAGGTGCTATCATTTATATGATAGTGTTTTGCTGCTTCTGGGTAACGTCCAACATCAATTTTGCCAAACTTGAGGTTATCTAGGGTGTATCTGTGGAAACAGAATATTTTTTATTTTCTTTAAAAAATTCACTTTTATCTTCCTTATGAATCATTCTTTGTCAAAAATATACATGAAAAACTGGCTGAAGGTTGCTCAGTACTCCTGTTACTTATTCAAAATTTACATAAAATCTACAATTCCCCTAAGGCAAAAAAAATAAACAGCCACTGGTTGTAGAGGGATAAATTCCAAATAGCATAATGTTAAACAAAAATAATGTCTCACTCAGCAGAAAGTTTGGCAAAAATGGGAGCCAAACTAGAACAGGCAGGACTCCATGCAGTGAAAAAGGTGATGTACCAGAGACAATGTTTGTCTCGTGCCAGCTCCTCATCTAGTTCCTTGCCTTGGAAGTATATCACTTTTTCTGGACCTTGGTATACCGGCTCTCCAACCACCAGGAAATGAACTGAAATAAATCAGAAGATAAGCTAAGTTTTATTTTGAAAAATCTACAAATGATTTTTATCTCTTCTCACTTAATGACTGAGTTCTGTTCCCAAGACCATGTAGGTAAATGAATTCGTTGCTAAGCAAGGAGCATACTATAATGGTAGTGGGTTTGTGTCAACCATCTTTGATATTGTTTTAATGTCCCCTTTGCACCATTTATAACATTTTAGTGTACAGTGGACCCTCAGTTATCGGCCATAATCTGTTCCAGAAGGTCGGCCTAAATCCAAAAAGGCCGAAAACCGAAATAATATTTCCCATAAAAAATAATGTAAATCCAATTAATCTGTTTCAGACACCCAAAAATATTAACAAAATATTACATTTTTTAAAGAATGACTTTAGTTTTACACACAGAAAACAATGAGAAATAAATATAAAGCACAAATTTAATGATAAATGAACATTACATACCTTTATTGAAGACTCTCCCCTCAAGGAAGGTTCCTTGATGTTGGTGAGGGGCTCTTGATTTAGGAAATTGGATCTGTGCTCCAGTTCCCCGAATTAAGCCTGAATGCCTTCCACATCCCCCCCCCCCCAGGCGCTGTATAATCCTCTGGGTTTAGCGCTTCCCCTTGATTATAATAATAATATTGAAGACTCTTGTTGGTGTATTGAAGAAGGCAGGAGGAGAAAGGGAGATGGGAATCCCCAACTCCCTCTCCCCTCTGTGTAGTATAGCCTCCCTGGGCTACACTACACAGCCACATTATTACCACGTTCACTGAGTTTAATCATTTCTAACAACTACCTTTAGATGCCACCATAAACAAAGGGAGAAGTAATGAATAATTCTTGCCGAGAATTGTAAACTAACGCATATGAAGGGCAGTTACTGGGTGAGACGCCAGATTCACAGTTTTCTCTAATGCTGAATCAGAGAAAACGTAATGTTCACTCTCCACCCGATTCTCCACTTGATAGCATATAAACATTGCATGTTTATATGTTATGTAATGTGTTTCTTATATAATTTTGAAGAAAATATCATAGATGGATTAATGAAAATGTCTATATTAACCTAAAATATGACAATGTGCCCAAGAGTGATTATTATTAAACATACATCACATATAAACACTGCGTGTTTTTATATACTGTGGACCCTCAGTTATCGGCCGTTCCTGTTATCGGCCAACTCTGTGATTGGCCAGTTTTTCGGCTTCTGGTGATTGGCTGTTATTTTGGTGATTGGCTGTTTGGGATGCGTTCGTCCGCCAGCTGGGGTCGCTTGCACGTCAGTTTGGCTGTTTCTCTCGGTGTGTGCGGAAGCTTCTGCTCCTTCACCCAAACATTCTGCTTGTTTTTCATGTTGTTTTATCAGTGCAACTGCAAAAAAATAACCATGGCTCCAAAGAAAGTTCCTAGTAAAGTTCCTGTGGTAAAGAAAGTGAGAAACACCATGGAATTTAAGTGTGAAGTGACTGAAAAATATGAGAGTGGTATGCGGGTGTTGGAACTTGCCAGGATATATACGGGAAAAAAAAATCAATAATTACATCCATCCTGGCAAAGAAAGAACAAATCAAGGATGCTAATGTTGCAAAAGGAGTAACTTTTCTAATGAAACAAAGGTCACCAATAATGGAAGAGATGGAAAAGTTGTTATTGTGGATTAAGGAAAAAGAATTGTGTTATAGAATCTATTATTTCTGAGAATGCAAGACAGTTACACGAGGATCTTCTTAAGAAAACTCCCGGAACAAGTGCTGCTGATAGTGAATTTAGGGCCAGCAAAGGCTGGTTTGAGAGATTTAAGAAGCGTAGTGGAATACACAGTGTTGTAAGGCATGGCGAGGCTGCAAGTTCTGACAAATGTGTGGCTGAAAAGTATGTGCAGGAATTCCAGGGGTACATAAAGACTGAAGGATTCAAACCCCCAAGAAGTGTTCAATTGTGACGAAACAGGCCTGTTTTGGAAGAAAATGCCAAGCAGGACCTACATCACGCAGGAGGAAAAGGCACTGCCAGGACACAAGCCTATGAAAGACAGGCTTACTCTTTTGTTGTGTGGTAATGCTAGTGGGGATTTCAAAGTGAAGCCTTTAATGGTGTATCAGTCAGAAAATTCAAGTGTGTTCAAGAAAAGCAATGTTGTCAAGAATAGATTGTGTGATGTGGAAAGCTAATCATAAGGCATGGGTCACAAGGCAAATTTTCAGAGAATGGGTTAATGATGTGATTGGCCCAAGTGTGAATACCTCCTGGAAAAGAAATTGCCACTCAAGTGCCTCTTGGTACTGGACGATGCTCCTGCACATCCTCCAGATTTGGAAGACCAAGTGTTTAGGGACTTCAGTTTTATAAAAGTGAAGTTCTTGCCTCCTAACACCACTCCTCTTCTCCAGCCCATGGACCAGCAGGTCATTTCTAACTTCAAAAAACTCTACACAAAAGCAGTGTTTCAAGTGCTTTGAAGTGACCTCGGACACTTAGTTGACCCTAAGAGAGTTCTGGAGGAATCACTTCACTATCTTCCACTGCATAAGCCTTATAGGTAAGGCTTGGGAGGGAGTGACTTCCAGGACTTTGAACTCTGCTTGGAGGAAATTGTGGCCAGGTTGTGTCCAAGAGAGGGATTTTGAAGTGTTTGAGGCTGACCCTGATGACCTTGTGGACTCTTGTGGCACTGGGGAAGTCCCTGGGGTTGGAAGTGAGTGGCGAGGATGTGGAAGAGTTGGTGGAGGACCACAGGGAAGAGCTAACCACTGAAGAGCTGCAAGAGCTTCAACTCAAACAGCAACAGACTGCAGCTGAGGAACTTGCTTCAGAGGAGGAGGAAGAGGGAGTGAAGGAGGTGCCTTCTTCATTGATTAAGGACATTTGTGCAAAGTGGAATATGTGCAAAGTTTTGTCAAGTACCATCACCCTGACCAAGCTGAAACAAGCCATATCTGCAACATGTTCAGTGACAAAACCCTGTCCCACTTCAGGGAAATCTTAAAGGGACACCAGAAACAGAGCACTCTTGAAAGTTATTTTGTGTGACAGGGGTCCAGTGACTCTCAAGCTGGTCCTAGTACCAGTAAAAGACAAAGAAGGTAAGTAACTCCAGAGGGCTTTGCTACCTGAAGTCTTTATGGAGGGGGATTCCCCTTCCAAACACTTTCCTCCTCCCTATCTTCCAGAAGCCAGCATTAGTCTTCAATAAAGGTATGTAATACTTATATAATTGTTTAAATTTTTTTTTTTTTTTTTTTGTGAATATTTTTGTCTGGAATGGATTAATTGTATTTCCATTAATTCTTATGGGCAATATTTCAGTTTTCGGCCATTGCGGTCTTAGGCCGACCTTCTGAAACAGATTACGGCTGACAACCGAGAGTCCACTGTACTACGTAATGTGTTTCTTATATAATTTTGAAGAAAATATCATAGATGGATTAATGAAAATGTCTATATCAACCTAAAATAAGACATTTAATGTGCTCAGGAGTGATTTATTATGCGTCCAATACAGTCGATCTCCAAAATAACGGCTCATAACCGGGATAGAATTTTGGCCAAAAAGCAGGCGAAAACCGAATTGGCCGATATCTGGAACAGCCGATAACCAAGGGTCCAATGTATTTTTAATGTTTATACATTAGTGTACTGTATATTGTAATAAACAGAATAGAGGAAATCAGCTCTAATATACATTATTTAGGTATGCATACTGGTCAGAGAGCACGTGCTAAAGCCAAGTCGTCGGTAAATGAGTACGTCACTAAGTGAGGAGAGGCTGTACTAATAAGAATTTGTACAATTGCTGTGGGCATAGATGTGAGAGTGCATATGTAGTACATCACAGCAAGTAGATTTAACATAGGATAATACAATAAAGTCAAACAATTAGTTGAAGCATAGCTGTGAGCTGACAAGTGGTGAAAAAAGACATGTATCATTAAAGGAGACCTTTTATTGATAAGACATTTCACTACATAAGGCTTTATAAAGCACTTTTGTAGATGAAGCATCATAATGAAAGGTCTCCTTTTGTTGTATGCATCCTTTTCTATCCAAGTCAAACAAGGTCATCTGTTTCTGCAATACAGTACTATATATTCATGGAAAGCACTAAGCCTATGTGAGTCAAGGGTCACTTCACACTACATGGTAAAGCCTATGTGAGTCAAGGGTCACTTCACACTACATGGTAAAGGTGAAGGGAAAAGTAGAGTTGAAGCAGCAATGTGATGAGGGAAAAGACAACAGCAAGAAAGCCATATATCTCTAAGGTCAGAAAACATGTGAATTTACTATTATGTTATGCCCAACTTCTAAAGGTAATTCACATGCAATATACATTCATCATATGCAATCAATACTGTCTGCAAAACGTATTAAAGATTTTTCTCATATAAAATTAAAGTTTATTTGACCTGACTGAACTTAATACAGCTGCCATGGGCCTGAAAAGCATCTAGAGGATGAAACAAGGAATTCTTTTACTGTAAAGTATACTTCACAATTTGTGAGAAAGTTTTATAATACAATACGGTACTTAAATTGCAAAATGATTGCACACAGTAAGCCCTTGATTTAAATGATTAATGGGGGGAGCAGGAAGCCAAAAATGACAATTGAGGTTGATGGAGATGAAATTGTTTTGCCATGATCATAACAATAATGGGCAACTCTGTAACAAAATCATACAGTCCACTGTTTCTGAATCAAGTGACCCAGTGGATTTTTTGTATTTCTAAATCCACAAAATTGTAGGTTTACTTTTCCAGCACTGCTGTTTACATTTCCTTCCATAAATGAGGTTAAAATAAAAGGAACGTACTTAAATTTGAACTTTTGTCCGTTAAATAAAAAATTAAGTCCGCTGGGCAAATTTAGTGAAACCTCAGTGTAATGGACTAATGGGGAAAGGAGTGTCCATTTAAATAAAAACTCATTGTAGTACCTACATGCATGATGGAATGGCCGTGGTCCATTGGCACTACTGTGTCCATGTACATTATT